TCGATGTAATCCAAATAGTACACACCCCTACCTTAGACTAATGGTTAAAAAAATTACCCTTCATGTATATAATATTGATAATTACGGATATAATTTGATAAGTTGGGCCAAAATAGGTAAATAGATGAACAAAGGAATATGAATCTAATTTATTTTTTTTCCAATTTTGCTCAATTTTGGACCGTATTGGACCGAATTATACTTCAGAGCTACTTTTTTGATAAATTATAGCTTATCAGATCCCTATAGCTAATATATATTTTAGGGATAAGACACAAGTATTCCCTAAAACTATGATCGAAATTTCATTTCAGAGACACACCTAAATTTAATTAGGAATCTATTCCCCCTGAACTCATTTTTTTCGTATTTTTGTGCACCTTTTATGCTGACGTGGCACATTCAACCACCCAAGTTAGTTGTGTTTGTACACACTCGCCTGTCACGTGTATAATTTTTTTTAATTTTATGTTTTTAATTTAAAAAGATAATTATTTTTTAAAAAAATATTCTTATTTTCTTTATCTTGTATTAAATTAAGTTAATACACAATTTTAACCATGTGTCGAAAGTCTTTTTTTTTTTTACCTTCATTCATTGTTTTTTCTCTTTTATTTTTCGATTGATTTTATTTTCTTTGTCTTTCGTTTTGATTTGATTTCAAATTTAATTTCAAATGTCTTGTATTTAAAATAAGTTAATTTTGAACGGATATCAAAATAAGTTAAGAAATTCAAATAACATAAAAAAAATTAAAACGTTAAAATTAATGGACACTTTTAAATTTTTTTAAAAAAAAAAATACACATAATTTTTAAAAAATAATTAAAAGTGAAAAGATAATAAATTAATTAAAAAAATTTAAAGTGAAAAGAAATTAAAATAAATATTTTACAAAGAAAGAAATAAAAATAATATATATATATATATATATATATATATATATATATATGTTTTAATATCAATAAATATGTGTACTAACTAATTTTAAGGTTACCAATAAAAAAATGACATTTGTCCAATTTGTGCACTCATCACTTGCTTTCAAGAGAGTGTGCACACTCTCTATGTCATGTCAGCGTTTGTAGTGTGTTAATTTCATTTTAAATTAATTTAGGGGAGGAGGGGTGGTGGGGGGAGAGGTAATAAGACCCTAGTTAAGTTTATGTGTGTTTCTGGGATATCGGTCATACCAGGGGTGACTCAACATAATTTGTGGCCTAAAGCGAAATTTTTATTAGAGGCCTAAAATCTATATAAATTTTATCTATATCTATTTATTTTTCTAAATTTCTAGATGTAAATTACTACTTAATATCTTTTATATAAATGATTTTTCAAACACTTTTTTTTAATTATTAGTTTTAAGTAAGATTTTATCAATTCAGCATTGAAAAACATCCTTTTATTGAGACAATTATTATATGAATTATTAACACAATTTTATAAGTAATAAGTTGATAAACTTTAA